AACATGGGGGGGAATATTTCTTGTTAAGATGATCCTTGAGACAAATGAAGTCACATTGCCCCTCCCTTTAAACATGAGGGAATATTTCTTGTTAAGATGGTCCTTGAGACAAATGAGTGACAGCTCTTCTTTGTCTTAAAGCCCAGTCAAATTCTCTCCTGGGGATTTCTGGGGACGAGGTGCTTCAGCCAGCACGGCAAACCCTCAGACACCTGTGGAGTACCCAATGGAAACAAGTGGAATAGAGCAGATGGATGTGACAGTGAGCGGGGAAGCATCAGCACCACTTCCAATCCGACAGCCGAACTCTGGGCCATACAAAAAACAAGCTTTTCCTATGATCTCAAAACGGCCAGAGCACCTGCGTATGAATCTATGACAAAACAATGCTTTTATTGATGCAAAAAGAAAACAATTCGGGGAAGGATGTGTGAACATCCTACAAGATAAAATGAGAATCAAAATGGCAGTCAACGCTATTACCTAGAATGTTTTGGAGAGAGGAAAAAATATACATGGATTTAAAAAAAATCAATCAATGGTGCAAAAAAATAAACCCACAAAAAAACTCAAGCAAAATAGTATTGTGGAACCCACAGACACATCGATTGACTGGTTCCTGTCTAGCGACATCTCAGCATTAGCAAGGGTTTTCACGTTGATGGCTCCAAACCGACAGTATTAAGGGTAGGATGTTGCTTCTGAATCACCGTTGAAGCCTGAAGATGTCAAAGAAGGGTCATCCTTTCATAGGCAAAGTATGAGATTGCCTGTAATACTTGCAACTAAGGACAAATTAGCATGCAAGCTTTGTCAAACTTTTTCCAGCAACACGAATCAAAGACAAAAGAAACTTATCGATTGATGTTTTATGTGCAAACAACCTGAATCTTTTTTTTATATAAATATATATTTTTCAAATAGATTTTTGATTCAGCTCATTATGGAAAACATCCCAAACTTTAAAATGCAAAATTATTGGTTGGTATAAAGAAAGCCAGCTTCTGTTTCTTCTCTTGATGAAATAAAATACAAATGAATCATTGTTAACCACAGCTGTGGCTCTTATGAGGGCTTGGGGTAAACCTGGGGTGTTTTTTGTTTTTGTTTCAGTAACCTAGCTGCAATACCTTTCTGTAATGCTAGAAGAAAAAAAAAAGTCTGTTTAATCATTTCTACTTGCAGTACTGTTGTGTGCTAGGTGTAACTGCAAGCCTTGGGAAAGGCAGAAGTTATATGTTCTACATTGCATCCTTGCCCTGGGCCTGCATTGCACTGGAAAAAAATCGCCACCTGTTCTCATGTCAGTATTTGGGTCAAGCCCACAGCCGAGGAAAGACAGAAGAAAGTCAGGCTAAAGTGCATAACTAGGGCAGTAAGCAGGAGAGCTAGAGACCTGCAGGGAAGAGGGTTGCCATGGTCCACCCTCAGTCTGTCTCTTCTCAGCATATTGGGAAGGTTTTCAGTTTTACTTTGTACTGTTTTTTGCTGTTTACCTTCCTTAACATTTTTTTCCCTCAAGAGTTTAAAAAAAAATGGTGTTTTTTCCCTCCTATTCTGGGGCTACATTTTTTAATTGTAAAAATATTTGATGGCCTTTTGATGAATGTCTTCCATAGTGAATAAGAAAACTTAGTGGCTTAATTTAGGAAACATGTTAACCAGACATTGTTTTTGAAAATGTAACAAAATCTACATAAGTGATTTACAGGTACAAAGAATAAAAATAAAGGTAACTTTACCTTTCTTAAATACTTCCTGCCTTAAGGAGCATTTCCATGACTAGCTGGTGAGACGGTTTAATAACTGCAGAGCTTTATAAAATATGCTTCAGTGCATACTGGTCTAGGTAGATGGTCACACTGCGAGTCTTGTCACTTCACTTTGTTGGTCTTTATGTCTCCAGTCTGTGCAGCTCATTTGGTATAGTTGCAGCCCTAGGGTTTCTTTACACAGATGCTCTTGCTATGTTCTTCATAGGATCCAAGCCATAAAATTCCTTATGCACGTCAGAGCCAGTCAGAAGAGATGAAGCTTGCTTCTTTAAATTGCAATTGAAGTGAGATGGGAGGGAAGTTTAACAGTGAGCAAAAATAGAACCTTGAGGGGGCTGGAGAGATGGTTCAGAGGTTAAGAACACTGGCTCTTCCAGAGGTCCCGAGTTCAATTCCCAGCACCCACATGGTGGTTCCCTACTGTCTATAATGGCAGTCCAATGGAACCAGATGCCCTTTCTTTCTGATGTACATAACTTATGGACAAAACACCCACATACATGAAATACATCTTTTTTTTAAAAAAAGTCATGACAGATGATTGGAAATACAATCTTTCAATTGTGGCAGTAAATGAAAGAATTGATAACTCCATCTTTGGACAGAGATGCTTTATATCATCTAATTCTCCCTCCTGGATCTCTGACTGCAGCTGCTTTTGAGAACTTTGTGATTGCAGCAGTAAATGACGAGCTGCAGTGATGATTAAAGGCAGAAATTGTAAAGTTGTTTTTTGATAGTTTGTGGTATCTTTAAAAACAGACTCCCCTTTCCCCCAAAAACCCCATCTATGGTGATGCATATAGGAATTATTTCAGACTGCAAATGGCTTGTGCTACTCTGATATTTGTTTCCAAATGTGTTTACTGACTATAGCGTTGACTGCCTGGCCAAATTCCATAAAACTTTTACACCAAACAGTTCCTCCTCAGCCCTAGTTGCTATATGTGCACTGTGACTGCCCCATAATTAAACTGTTTAACTGTAGTAGTGCCAGCAATAGTGGCAAGTACTGCAGCTTTTTTGCGTAGAAAGCATTAATTATACACCTTCCATCTACACAATAATGTATAGCTTTTCTATCACAACATTAAGTGAAATTGATTTCTCATGCTGTGACAAGTTGATTGAGAAATTGTTTCATAATGGATATTCCTACTATGACTGTGAAAACATGTCAGGTGTCACATGCGTGTCACAGACAGAAAGCACACGCCTATGCAATATGGCCTACTCTGTATTTATTTGTAAAAACTGAAGCGCAAAGTATATGTTAATACTAGTTTGAGTTTATAAGAGAGGTGTTCATGCTTGTACCAGGTAAGTGTATAAAGAAGATGAAGTGCTTTTTCTTTTATTATCTGATTATTTTCTTTAAAATCAGTTATTAAGGATATTTTTTTATTTTCTACATGCCATTTTTTAATTAAAATGAACTGAAGTTTACTAAATTTGTTTTTTAAGGTTTGTAGTGTTACAGAATAACTAAACTGGGATTTATAAACCAGCTGTGATTAACAGTGTATTAATTATTGAACTTGAACCAGACCTTTAGGAAAATTATGTTTCTTTCCCTTTTATGATCTTAACTTCAAGGATTTTTTTTTTCCCCATACTGTTTTTGAGCTAGAAGATAGTTTGAGATTTAGGGAAAGGAGGATGCATGTATGAGACTCCATAAATTCAACATTCTGTACTATAGATAACAATTAAAAACAAAACATCTTAGTATTAATATTGTGAGCCTTGGATATCATAATTAATATAGGACCTTTTTAAAACTATTCAGTTAGTTGTATTTCCTAGCTTACAAGGGCTAGATCGAAGATAATTCCCATGAGAATTGTTGAATTTATGAAGGATGGATTTTGAGGCTTTGAAAATCGTTAGTATCTAAAAGAGTCAATACCCAAAACATCTGCCTTTGTTGTAGGGACAGATAATAGCTAGCTGGACAAAACAGTCATAATATTCATCACGTAGGACCTGTGGTCTGTTGCTGATTAATACAGTACTTTTCTCATGTGACTCTTCACACTACAGCACAAGTATTATTTCCCTGGATTCTCTGGAGAAGCATCTGGAAGATGGGTTTCTGACAGTGTTTGCTCTTTAAACTGTGTTCGCTTCTACCCCAAGTTGGCTTTGCATCTATTAAATAGTTCTTCAGCTGCCTTATTACGAGTGCTATAAGGGCAACACCTTTTCTGCTTTTCATCTTGTATTTAGTTTACTGTATTAAGATATTTGATTTCAGATTGAATGAATGTAAATAGAAATTAAATGCAAATTTGAATGAACATAAAATAGAAGTGTTTTTTTATTACCTGAGAAAAAAAGTATACATATTTACTATAGTATACATACCAGATGTACATTTTTCATTAACATGTTAGATATGTTCATGGTCTCATATGTAATAAACTACTTTTGTATGAAACAATTAGTTATAAAACTTTCTCCTGAGAAATTAGAGCTATTAAATATATAACAAATTTTAGTGTTGACTTTATGTAGTAAATGTTAAACATCTTCGTTATTTTGAATACACTTGAATTCTTTCCTTTTAAAAATTTGCAGCAAGCTATGTGGAATCTAACTTCACATAAAAATCATGGGAATACCTTTTTATATATTAATAATCAATAGTTTGCTTACTTACACCTCATAGCTACCTTTGACAGTGTAATGTTCACGCACAAAATAATGTAGTGCTCAAATGTAGCAAATATAATGTCTAGTATATGGTAACCACTTTGGGTGGTAACTTACCATCCCTGAAGCCTTCATATCACGCTAAGGTGTACAGAAATTCTCCAGCTGAAGTTACCTCTAAAAAAAGTTATTACACATAGGTTTGTGGCCACTGCATGCATGCAAATGTCAGAAGACAAGAGAAGTCAGTTCTCTCCTTCCACCATGTGGGTCCCAGGGATTGGAATAAGTTCACTGGGTTTGGTGGCAAGCATCTCTATATACTGAGCTAGTCTGCCAGCCCAGAAGTTACCAGTTTATAAAATATAGTAGTATCTCTCTCTCTTTGGTGCTCAGAGATCTTCCTGCCCCTGCCTCCTAAGTCCTGTTATTAAAGGTACATGTCACTGCATTACAACCATTCTTTAAAACACTATTGTGTGTGTGCATGTGTGTAGAGGTCAGAGGTCAACACAAAACTGAACAGTACAGGTGACGGCAAGAAGCACATATATGAGGTCCACAAAGTGATTGAATCTAAATCATTTATTCTCACTGATTGCTTGTCATAAAGCATAATACAGTATTAAAATATATCATCCTCAATAAATCTTCACTTAGAAAATGTGATTGTTATAGGTAAAATATAGCATTTAGAACTTTCATTGAAAAATACAATTTTATGAAAAATTTAAGCATTTTTAGAATGGGGATTATAAAAGTCTGATGAAGAAAATTGTTTCAGATACTATGTATCTTAAAATAGGCAAAATCTTTACTCTGAAAACCATGTCAGGAAATAGTACCTGCACCCCTTTAAAGTGGCTAGTTCTAGTTGCTAATTGCTGTTTTGGTATTATTAACAAGAAAAACCATTTCTAATTTAACACTGCAATTATCTGTCAAATAAGTGGAATAAATTTGTATACTTTTTAAATTTAATATATACTTCAAAAACACATGGCTCTTGCACTTAATCTTTAAGAAATTGAACTACAAACATGTCTCTTAATACCTTAAAACCATCTGGAAACATTTTTTCTACTCCTGGAAATCAATTATCATGCCTTTATCAATAGTTACCATAACCAGATAAAATTAATGTTTTGTGGCCTTAACAGTTTATACAACTTAGTATATCTGAAGGTGCAATGAAGTGGCTCCATCTTTCCATTTGTTTATACGATCTGAAATCACAGTTCTGCACAGTGGACAAGTTTTCTCTCTGTTAAACCATAAGGTAATGCATTCTTCACAGAATATATGCTGTAAAGGAATGAAGAACCAGATCTTACATATCACACTCCAGAGGATCCAATTCTTTCAAGTTTTTGAGAGAGCATCTGGCCCAACAGTTTACAAATGAGTAAGTGACTGTTTTAATGGTAGAGCCACTACAAGTGTTCTGACTGTGCCACTGAACTGTTTTGCTAGGTGCCTTTTAAGTGTGATTACTTACCTGCTTAGTGGAAACTTGCTTGCAGCTACTATGAAATATGGCAAGGAGCCTCCTTATACATTTAGTAACAAATGCTGCCACTGATGATCAAGACTAGTATCCATTTAGAAACAGAACCTTGTTTTTCAACTGCTCTGGTATCTAAGTTACTGACCAAGTTACCCCCGCCCCTCAGAGGTTCCTTTGCACAAAAATCATCCAAACATCATCAGAACATAAGGGGCATGATTTAGACAATCTATCACATCCTCCTTAACAGTATGTACCCAGAATGCAATCTTCCACTAAATATTCCCCTCGTCATATAATAAGCATAATTTTCTCAAGTCAGAGAAAAATGCTCTATGTAGTTTGCTTAGAAGTTTACCTGACAAATGAGAAGAACTGGCTTCTGAAATTCAGCTTGACATATTGAACAAATACCATCCGCATCTGAACACTGTCTCTTGCTAGCAGGCACTCCATAACTCTATGAAGACAAATTCCATTAGAAGTTCCTCTGGAGAGTCTGGTTTTGAACTGGCCAGGGTATGGCTCAGTGGCAGCACACGTGCAAGTAAGTCCCAAGGCTCAATCCCCAGTACTGTGCCAATAAAAAGAATTTCTTCAAAAGTCCTAAAAATAGTTTGAGTTCCTTAAGGTCTTGACTTTCTTACTGAAGTCAGCAGTGTTTAATTGTTAACCATAACAGTGAAAGCTCTCTATAGATATGAAGGGAAAGGTGGTAAACAACATTGGTGCTGTCATGGATAAAGTGAGATGGGTGTTAGTTATGATAGGCTAACAAAATTAAACCAAAACTCAAGGATAAAATTAATTATCAAGTTTGAAGCTGATAATATAGATTTCAGAATCAAGTCAGGATACTGTTTAGATGGTCTTGATAACAATTTCCCTTCAATAAAGTGCTATTTAGCAGAATACACTACAGGTAGTTATCCTGAAAAGTTTTTAGAATATCTTTTGGGGGGAGGGGGCTGAAGAGGTGGTTGTGCATGGCTTTAATCCCAACACTTGGGAAGTAGAGGCAGGTGGTCTCTCACTTTGCAGCTAACCTGGTCTACAGAGCAAGTTCCAAGATAGCCAGGGCCACACTGAGAAACCCTATCACAAACCAACTATTTTTGTGGTTTGGAGAATCCCTTTAGATGAACACACCCCAACAGGTATGCATATATGTACTTGGGATCTCCTAGGGAGACTCAGGAATAAATCTGTGTCAGTAACTGATTCTCTACTCTGTCTCACAGTGAAGATAGCAATGAGGGTGTTTGGTATTTTGTTTTTCTTCTGTGTTGCATACTGAATGTAGGGCCTCACACATGTGTCAGACAAGCATGCTATGAGTTACAGCCATGGCCCACAGGACATTTTTATGAGGTTATTTTCAGCACTAATCTTACTAGATTCAACTAAGTGAAATGGCTGACGCTTATAACTCTGAATTTTATTGTAGTTTTTACTTTCTTTTTGTTGTGTTTCAGCAGGTTTCACTATGTAGACCATGCTGGCCTTGAATTCACAAGAAATTTGCCTTCCTCTGTCTCCTGAGTGCTGAGATTAAAGGCATTTGCCACCATACCCAGCTAGCATTTGCTTTCACATCATCAATTACCTTAAAGCAAAGGTATCTTGGCCAGTTAATTTGAACTACTCTGTGTATAATTTTTTCCATTTACTTGTTTGTTTCAGACTTTATTGCTAAATCACTCAGGCTGGGATCACTTAATCCTGGGATCGGGGGTTCTTCCCTACCCATCCTTTTTTCCCTCCTAAAAAAGAAAAAAACTAATAGTATGTTATGAACTAGAGATACAGTTCTTGGTAGAATGCTTGCCTAGAAAACTTAATTTTCTAATACAGAATTGAGTAAGAGGAAATTTCCATTAATAAGAAAACTGCAAGGGACATGATTTTTACTGAGTTGTCTTCAAAATAAAATTATGCTCAAGTGGGATAGGGAAAGTATTAATGAACCTATATAAAACACACAAGGATTTAAAAAGGAAAAGGAGCAAAAGTCTATGACAGGATTTTTAAAAGTGTATTTATGAACCCTAAAAGATGTCCAGTGACTGAATTGCTCGCTGTTGTGCTTTAGTACAGGCTATGTGAGACCACTAAGTCTCAGCTCCAGAACAACAGATTGAAAGGACAAACAGGCATTCAATACATAAGCATTGGTGGACAATGAAATTTAAGAAACTGCTTATGGGCCGGGTGGTGGTGGTGCACGCATTTAATTGAGAGTCAGAGGCAGGCGGATCTCTATGAGTTTGAGGCCAACCTGGTCTACAGAGGGAGTTCCAGGACAGGCTCAAGGAATTAAAATTTCTTTATCATTATAATCCCAAGTGCCAGAATATTAGAAAATAATCTCATAATGGAAAAGAAACATCTGGTGAATTTCTACTTGTAAAACTACTGAAGAAGTGCGAGTGAAGCCAGGCAGAAGTAGTTTCTCAACTGTAAGTACTTACTGGTCGTGTAAAAAATACTCGCAAAACCTGTCTGAAAGTTCTCAAGTGTCCAAAAAAGTCCAAAAGCTAAAAGAAGAAGAGACAGTTTATTAATTCAACATCTCTATATGCTAAATCTAAAGACCAAAGGTGAAATTCAGTTCCCACCTAATATTCATTGTATGCCACAGCTAGGCATGCAATTATAAATCATTTCAAGTTTAATAAACTAGTGCAGAGCTCTTAACCTAGAGCTACAATTTAATGAAGACGAATAACCCTATGTCAAAGACACTGCCACGGACTAGCAGTGCTGTTCCATTCGTCCCTGGGACCCATACAGAGGCTCTCAACCACCTCTGACTCCAATCCCAGGATTGTTCACCTCTGCAGGCCTCTGAGGGCACTGCACTCATGTGATACACAAATATAAATACAGGGGAAACACTTATATACAAAAAATATATCAATTTGATTCAAATACTCTTGGCATTTAGATTTAAAAACTTCACTAGGTGGTGGCAGCAGGACTCACCTTTAATCCCAGGGGAGGCAGAGGCAGGAGGATCTTTGAGTTCAAGGCCAGCCTGGTCTACAGAGTTCCAGGACAGCCAGGGATACACAGAGAGACCCTGTCTCAAAAAAAAAAAAAAAAAAAAAAAACCACCACAAAGTTTTATTGGTCTACCTGAGTTCCAGGGCAGCCAGAGCTGTTCCCGTCTCAACCTCCCCAGACACACACAATTAAAAAGTTTCATAGGGCTACACAGAGAAACCCTGTCTTGAAAAACCAAACAAAAAAAGATTGATAAAATACTAAATTGAAGAGATCAGGCATAAAGGGAGGAGGGCAAGATATCCCATGGGTTTGAGAACTGTATGTATTACAAATGGTACTGTGAGGGTTTGTGTGTTTTCTACTCATTCCCCAGAGATATCACAGGTATGTAAGTCTACCCCGCAACTCAACAAGAATGGAGACACAGAGCTTGGCATGGTGGCAGGTACTTTTAAGACACCCTAAGCAGCAGAACAAGAACCAGTGCAGTACCCTGCTTCCCCAGACCACTAGGTTCCTTCTACCCTTCCTGGATCTCTCTGGAGGCAAGGTCTTGGTAGGCCTGCCAACACTGGCAAACTCATGATTCTCCTGCCTCAGCCTCCTTTGTAGCTGGGATTACAAGTACCCCAGCTCTACATTTCTAAATAGTTAAGAGTCTGCTATTACTTCCAGCTAGTGATATGAACATAAATTTCGAGGTAACTTAGTAGCAATATAAAATCAGTGATCAGAAGAGTCACTCTGCCAGGGTTATAATGTTACTTACTTTTAGTATGAGGTAGAGTAAAGCCAGCAATATCCCAAGACTCCATCTAGTTACATTACCAAACTCCCCATAGCTTATAAGGTACCGAAACCAAACTGGTATGGGGACAAAAATTCGGTAACACTGACATAATTCTTCTAAAAGCATGTACCAATAACCCTAAAAAAGCAAGAAAAAAGAAATAAATCCAGCTACCCAAGGTATTAAACACATAGCAGATATTTAATATTGGAAGGAGAACATCATGAGTATATAATACACTAATCCCATGAAATTATATTTCAGAATCATGATTAACACTGACAAATTCAAATTGACTATCACATACCATTGTCATCACATGGCTTGCTTTAAGTATTTCCAAATTGGCTCATTTCCCAATTGTTGGGCCAGCGAGATGACTCAGTGGGTATGGGTAATGACCTTAGTTCAATCTCCAGAACCCACATGGTGGAGAAGTAAATAAATGTGAAAGAAAAAGTTTTAATGTGTAAGTTGGGTTTGGTGACTCACATTTGTAACCCCAGAATTGGGAAGTTAAGGTAGCAGGACTGCAGTTAGTTCCAGATTAGCTCAGGCTATGGAGTGAAACCTTGTCTCTAATAGTAACAGTAAGTTACTGACTGCTTATGTAATCGTTTTATAAACTGGCAATGCCTTGGACCAAAACAGAAGTACAAATCTAGAATTTTCCCATATATAATATGAAGATTGAGTTTTCAATTATGCCGGAAGCAAATGTAATCCTTAGCCAAGTAAGTTAGTATTTTCAGTTCAAGTACTTGAACAAATGGTTGCCAGGGATTTTTTTTTTTTTTTTTTTTTTTTTTGGTTTTTCGAGACAGGGTTTCTCTGTGGTTTTGGAGCCTGTCCTGGAACTAGCTCTTGTAGTAGTTGTAGGCTGGTCTCGAACTCCCAGAGATCCGCCTGCCTCTGCCTCCCGAGTGCTGGGATTAAAGGCGTGCGCCACCACTGCCCGGCCTGCCAGGGATATTTTTGTGTTGGAGAGATGGCGCTGCAGTCAACGGTACTTCTTGCTCCTCCAGTGGACCTGAGTTGGGTTCCCAATACCCACATTAGGCAGCTCAAATGCTTCTAACTCCAGCCCCAAGGTATCTGATGCCCTCTTCTGGCCTCTAAATGAAGAGGCATTTCAATGAAGACTACTAGGTTTTGCTAACATCATTCCAATAAGCATTAGTTAGTTTCTTACCTTTGATTTAAAAGGCATGATGAAAGAAGGCACCAATAAAATTAGGCATTTTAAACCCATGAAGAAGAATTTTAGAATGAAGTCTGTAATTCCAACAATCCAAAGAACTTCCCAAAAGCTCAACTGATCCAGTGTAGGATTTAAGAAAATTAAGCTACCAAGAGAAAAGCATAAACACTTATGAAGGCGATGTATACAAATGTAAACTTTGCTGCAGTATTTCACATATTTCACATACAGTTAATGCCCTATCAGTGAACAACCCCAAGTCTGTTTTTTCTGGTGTCTCTCAATACACTCCTACAGCAGCTCTAAGTTAGAGGTGCAGTGCCTTTCATGTCTGGGCTGGGCCCTCTTCTTCTTCCTTTCCCTGGTTGATTTTGTGCAGGTCTGTGAGCTCCTTTTATGTTGTGTGTTCCTTCAGACCGGGTATCACTGTCACCTAGGCTGGCCTCATTAGAATTACAGGCTATACCCAGACAGTCTTTTTTTAAGTACTAGACACGTTCTGGAAACACAAATTTAAACGTATTTGTGGGGATGGGATGTGCATGTCTGAGTGCAGGTGCAGAGGGCATCAGATCACTAAGCCTCTGAACTGGAGTTTCCTGGAAAAGCAGCGGATGCTGTCAGCCATGGCACTATCTTTCCAGCCCGAGGTCATTCTTGTTTCACACTAAACCTAGTTTCACACTCTACCACTCCTTACAGCCCAGATGGGTTAATATTGAACCTAGGCCTTCTAATTATTTGATTAAAGCTGAAAATTCAGAATATCAGACATGAAAATGCATCTTAACCATGTGTTTTAATGACTCATTTTTAGAAACAAAACGTTGATTTTTTTTTGGTACTAAATAAATACTGATTAAACTGTAAATGGCACATATCTATATTTTCAGCATTCAAGAGGCCAAGGCAGGAGGACTGCAAGGTGGAAGGCACCCTGGACTACACAGTGAGACTCTGTCTCAAAAACAAAAAAACAAGCCAGGCGGTGGTGGCACATGCCTTTAATCCCAGCACTTGAGAAGCAGAGGCAGGAGGATCTCTGTGAGTTTGAGGCCAGCCTGATCTACAAAGCGAGTTCCAGGACAGGCTCCAAAGCTACACAGAGAAACCCTGTTTCAAAAAACAAAACAAAGGCCAGCCTGGTCTACAAGAGCTAGTTCCAGGACAGGCACCAAAGCTACAGAGAAACCCTGTCTCGAAAAACAACAACAACAACAACAACAAAAACCAAAAAACAAAACAAAACAAAAAACTGATCAAACAAATCCACTTATCAAAAAGTATTTATTGAGCACATGCTATGTGCCAAGGTACTGGGGATACAAATGTGTAAGTCACACCTGTCAATCATGAAAGGAGACTGAACTATAATAAGCATTATATAGTCAAAGTGCCAGGGAATAAATGATACACAACAGAAGTATACGAGGATCTCTAATTACCTGTAATAAAGTGATTCAGAATGAAAGGTGTAATATAAAAGAATAGAAGAACCTGCCAGGAACACCAGTAACCAAGCACACTGAATCTTTGATGACCGTTCCTGAAAAAGAAACAATTTTGTAATTTATGCGTTATGTTGGGCTAGAATTACTAGTATCATTTTAAGTTGATGATCAATTTATTACTTTAGAATGTTTTTTAAATTATTCTTAATCTGCTAAATTGTTCATTGTCACAACCACTGTTTTTGTTAATTAGTCTTTAATTAACAAAATTTAAAACTACAAGATGGGCTGGACAGGCTGGACAGTGGTAACACACACCTAAATCCTAGCACTCAGGAGGCAGAGGCAAGTGGATCTCTGTGAGTTTGAGGCCAGCCTGGTCTACAGAGTGAGTTCTAGGATAGGCTCCAAAGCTATACAGAGAAACCCTGTCTCAAAAAACAACAACAAAACAAAACAAAAAAACCAAAATGAAACAAAACAAAATACAAGCTGGGCACAGTGGCACACACCTTTTATCAATCCCAGTACTTGGAAGGCAGAGGCAGGCGGATCTCTGTTGAGTATGAGGCCTGAGCTACAGAGTCTCAGGACAGCCAAGACTGTATAGAGACCCTGTTTCAAGCCACCACCCCCATAAAGAATCTAAAAACACAAGCCTTAGAAGTCAAAGAAGCAAATCTCCACACTGACATAAAGGACCTGCCCAGAGCAATCTTTACCTTTGCTGCTTCTTTCTCTTCCATAAAACAAATTTTTTTTAAATGAATGTTCAAGTAAATAAGTTCATAAATATGCAATAATTTTGATCTTTGAAATTCAAGTTTAATTCAAAGTTTTACAGTTGAGCATCCTAATCCAACTATTTGAGCACTAACATGATGCTCCATGTGGAAAGTTCCTCACCTGATTTCACTGCCAATCAAAACCCAGTGCACTAATACTATATAAAGCTGCCTCTAGACTATGTGGATAAGGCAGACAGACAAACATGAAAGACACCTCACTATGTACAGGCAAACTTCACAAAATTAAAGAAATCCCGGGTGGTGGCAGCGCACGCCCTTAATCCCAGCATTTGGGAAGCAGAGGCAGGTGAATCTCTGCGAGTTGGAGACTAGCCTGATCTACAGAGCAAGTTCCAGGACAGGTTCCAAAGCTACACAGAAAAACATCCCCCAAAAAATTAAATTAAAAAAAATGTCACCAGGCAATGGTGGCACATACATTTAATCCCAGCACTCAGAAGGCAGAGGCAGGTCAATCTCTGTAGAGCAGGCTGGCCTTGAACTTAGAGATCCCCCTGCCTCTGCCTCCTGAGTGCTGGGATTAAAGGCCTGTGCCACCATGCCCAACCTTGTACTAGTATTTTTGTTATTTATTTTTTTTTCTTTTTCTAAAGACAGTGTTATGTTAGAATATAACACACCTTGGCCTGGTGCTCACTACATATTCCAGACTGATTTTAAATTCACAGCACTCCTCCTGCCTCAGCTTTCCCAGTGTTGGAATTAGACGAACACAACCACCAAACCCAGCATTAACCTGTGCTAGTTTTAAACTATGCATTAAATTTTTGTTAATAGGCTATACTATAAATTCCTAGATATGATCCCAGCACTCGGGAGGCAGAGGCAGGTGGGTCCGAGTTTGAGGTCAGCCTGGTCTACACTGTGAATTTCAGGACAGCCGGGGATACACGATGAGACCCTGTCTCAAACATAGACACATAAAATGACCAGTGCCCATTCATTCAATGCTCCATTTTACTTATTTTCAATCTTATGGTACATCAACTAAGGTTTTTAATGATATCATACTACTTAATATGTTTCAATCAACTCATGAAGTACGAAGGCCCTTGCCAAGCTAGATCAAATAGTGTGGTCTAAGTCTTTTATCCTCTTGTCTGTGTTTTCTTTATTAGGAACTGAACAACAAAAGTAAGGTGAGATAACTAAGCAATAGGACAGGTAACTTATTCCAAGTCATTTAGAAAACCAAATTAAGTATGTGGTAAACATCAGAACTTATCCTGTTGCTTTCCAGTCTTCTTGAAAGTTACTTCTATTTCTCTCAAAGTTATCTCTAATTCTGTAGAGAGAAACAGTTAATAATTTAGTTGCTTGTTATACTTACTCTTAGAAAAACCTGATTTACAATGCTTTTGTTTGCATACATAAAAGTTGTTAGCAGCCCAATTCCAAGAGAAATTCCTGTTAGAAAATAAGTTCTAGTTAATTGAAAGAAAAGAAAAAAACCAAGATTATATATGCTAATAATATAAATTAAAACATAATTTTAAAAGTTAGCAATCAAAATACATAGGTTAAAATTATCAGTAAAAAGAGAAACTGAATAATTGAGTCAATGTTTTGTCATTTCCTACCTGTTATATGCTGCATAACAAGTTTAATACCCAGAATCAAAATATAAGGAAGACTTTTTTGCAGCCACTTGAAGAGATAGCGGAACTCTGAGAAGGAGCCACTTCCATGTTCTCCAGATTCTGTGGCAAAGTCCTCAGGAGGCCTCGCTTCACTGTGGGAGTGACTCCGGAAGCGAGTATGTGCACACCCGTGGGCACAGCTGCAGGCACCTGACCTTGTATTTCTAGAGCTCGGGTTTTCAGGATGCTCCTTAGGTCCGGAGTTTATTTGGATATGTATGTCTCCAGGATGAAAAGAAGACCCTTCTGTCGATCTTGACGGGTGAACACACTGGGAGGCTGGAGCATCATCACTTGCGGTGCCTGGAGGATCATGCAGTTGACTACAGCTGGCTTGCATGGCCCTGAAATAGTTTTTCTCTAAGATGTCTCTGCTTCAGGACTCTTTCTTCTTCAAAAATAAAATCAAAGAGCAGAAAGCACTGTGAGTTAACAGTTAATCACAAGCGGTATACTGTGCTTAGGTGTCCTTTATTCACTAAGGGAGGAGCGGACAGTCACAGATGATCTTTCAGGTTTGCTGACACTACTTCTTTTTTTTTTAATATTTATTTATTTATTTATTTATTATGTATACAATATTCTGTCTGTGTATATGCCTGAAGGCCAGAAGAGGGTGCCAGACCTCTTTACAGATGGTTTTGAGCCACCATGTGGTTGCTGGGAATTGAACTCAGGACCTTTGGAAGAGCAGGCAATGCTCTTAACCACTGAGCCATCTCTCCAGCGCCCATGACACTACTTCTTCCATCTCTGCTACTGCCAAGGCTCTTCTGCTCCCCCAGCCTCAATCCCAAAGTCAATTTAGCAAATCAATGTGTTTAACTGATTTAGGGGTTACTAAAATACAAAGCATACTTAATGAACATTTGCTTTTGAGCCGCAGATGTCTTGACTTCTCTAATGCCAAAAGACATAAGCAAAAAGAATGGGTGCCCAGCTTATACCACTATGAGGAGCAGTACCCATACCGAGTATGTATGTAGGCACATGGACTCTGAGCAAGAGCCCACATTAATAAGTTTACTAAGGGTAGGTGAGACGGCTCCATCAGTAAAGGTACCTCCAGCCTAGTCTAGTCTGCTGATCTGAGTTAAATCCCGGAACCCAGATGGTAGAGGAATGAACTGACTCCCACAAGTCGTCCTCCCTCCCTCCCTTCCTCCCTACCCCACCCCACCCCCACTAAATCAACGTAACAAATTTTTAAAAGATTCACTAATGCTTAGAAGGAAAAAAATCAGTACCTTATTAAGCATCAAAAGATAAACATTTCATTTGGTTGACCTAGACATTTCATTTTATGTTGGAAAAGCCTTTCCAAAGCTAATAAGGTTTTCGATAATTAATAGTGTTGTTACTCCTCAAAAGAATGTTACTGAAATACCTTTGAAATGGGGTTGTTGGGGGGGGGGGAGTCATCACGTAATTGCTAAGTGATGCTTTAGTGTGAATAAGGAGTTCACTTCTGGAAGAAAAATGCCACCATGGGCGGGTGTGTGGCGGGGATAGGGGTGTCAGAAGGGAGGCTGTGGGCAGGGCAAGATCCCTACATGATTCAGAGTGGATCTCGGACTAGGGTGCCAGTCGCAGAGTCCACACCGCCGGGCCTCTCCCGTTTCTCCCGCGAGGGAGCAAACTGCGGCCGGGCTTGTTCGGGAGCCGTGCAGTTGCTGTGTGACGTTCGGCGAGGCTCTGAAGCCTCGGCGGCCGGATCTCCTCACTCTCTGAAGAGCGACTTGGGACAGGACAGTTTGTGTCTCTGCTATAAAAAGGGAGGGAAAAAAAATCCTAAACAACTACCTTCCTGTCCTCCTTCATACATAAACAAGAGAAGGGAAAAGGAAAAGTAAACGCCAACTCTTCCGGAATCTGCGAAGACCGAGTTCTCCACCCACGTCCGAACCTCGGCTCTTCTCCCCCGGAAACCCTCCTCCTCACCGCCCTTCCCCAGGCCTGACCTCTCATGACCAGGAGCGGGTGGCCTCGGCAGCCACGATACCAACAGCCCGACACGCCGTCGCAAACCCTTCTCGCCAAGCCTTCAGCCTCAGACGCCACCAGCAGCAGTGACGCTCGGCCTGGCCCCGCGGAGGCGCGCGCGTTCCCCACGTCGTCGTGCGCGACCCGCCTTCGCCAAGCCACGCCCTCGCCTGTGGGAGGCGGGCGCCCTTAGTCCCCGCCCCGCTCCCATCCTGGCCCCGCCCCACTCCCATCCTGGCCCCGCCCCCACTCGGAGGGTGAAGAGGAGGAGGAGAAGGGAGGGCGGCGCGTCTAAGTATCCTGGCCCCGCCCAGTCGACTTGCTCCTGCTACTGTGTTCCGAGTGGCTAGGTGGCAGCTGTATGCACTAAATTAAGTCTGCGTGGCCGTCACTTCTTGCGTGGATTTGCAATCCCTCTTACGCCTCGGAGTCCTTTCCTGCAGGACTTGAGGTTGAGGAGTAGGCTCGGGAGGCCGCTCCATTCTCGGAGCTGCTCCCCCTCCCCAGAGCCACGATGACAATGCCTGGGCTTCAGGCACTCAGACCCACTGGGCTGGCTGGGCGAGGTTGTGAGTGACCTGGATTCGGGTTCTAACCCTGAAGTTGGCCAGTGCGCACTAGTTCGTGCCAGAACTGGATATCAGAAGCGCCGGGGAGTTTGCGAGGTGGTGGAAGTAGATTTAGAAAACCCCTTGTTGACGAAAGGGAACTCGACTCCTAAAGACTAAGGGGGAAAATTGTCGGGCGGTGGTGGCGCACGCCTTTAATCCCAGCACCCGGGAGGCAGGGGCAGGTGGATCTCTGTGAGTTCGAGTACAGCCTGGTCTACAAAGCGAGTTCCAGAATAGTCAGAGCTACACAGTGAAACCTTGTCTCGAAAAAAAACCCAACAAAACAAAGAAAGGACGGGGCTTGGGGTGGAGGAGTTATAAACGAAAAGAAGTTCGTCTAGAAACATCTAATATATCAAGTAAATAGCAGGGTTCCTATGATTTCCTGAAATGAAGTGTTTCGTGGGAGATTAGGTGAAGGGACCTGGGCAACATTTTGTTAGTTAAGTGTCAAGTGATATTTTGTCTTTTGTCTGTCACCATCTGGCTTAAACCTTTCAAATACTGGTGTGATACCTTAGCGGTGAAAAGTTGTCTTACTTTCTTTCATAGCATTATTACTGAATCCACTGTTTTCAGCACCAATCATTCACCTCGAGACTATACTTAAATACTTAAATTTCTCTCAAGTCGAAAAGCACTTTTTAAAAAATTATTATTATTATTATTTTATTATTTTTGAGACAGCGTTTTACTATGTAGCATTAGCTGTTCTGGAATTCGCTCTGTAGACCAGGCTGGCCTCGAACTCAGATTCATTTGCCTATCGAGTGCTGGGATTAAAGAAGTGTACCACCACGGCCCAGCCTTCTCTTACTTCTGTATATCTTACTCCCTCGCTAGCTGTGTCGCTGGGTGGCCGGCCCCTGGTGTCCTCTTCTTGCTCCATCCTCTCCAGATTTTTCCTGCTTATGTTCTCTGTCTGCCTGCCCCTCATCCTTGCTCCTGCTGGGCTATTGATTGGCTGTTCAGCTCTTTATTAGACCATGAGGTGTCTTAGACGGGCAAAGAATCACAGTTTCACGGAGTTAAATAAATACAACATAAACAGAAGTAACAGACAGCATAAAGGAAGACTGTGGAACCTTGGGTACGACAATAACACAAGCATCTAGGACTGCCCAGGACAGGAACAACTGGAGACCCGCCATAAACGGGCTGACCATGCAGGTTTAGCAGTGCCGGGGCATAAACCATGAAAATGGTGACTGTCAATCTCGTCAGAAGCCAATGACTCAGGAAGTCACAGACCTGAGGGAGGAACCTACTGCTGCTCTGTTAAGGAACATGTTGTCAAACTGCCTTCTGAATAATGCTTTCGCTTTTATCTGTAGTGTTATAGTTTATATATTAGTGTTGCTCTCAATTTGGGCCCGAGTCACTTCTCCCTGCAGTCGTCAGCAGCTAATGAGACCAGATCCCCTGGAACTGGAGCTACAGACAATTGTGAGCTGCCATGTGGGAATTGAACGTGGGTCTTCTTGAAGGGCACCTCTGAGCCATCTCTCCAGCCCCCTGTAGTTTATTCTGATGGTCCAGGAGGAGCGGCTGAGTTTTAAGTGAGCAGAGTTGTGTTGCCGGGAAATTCTCATGCTGGTAGGTGTCGATGCACGGTGAATTAAAAGTCTCTCCATACTTTAGGGCAGAGATGAGAAGGTCTTGAATTTGTTAGTGTAGTGGCATCCACGAGGAAGAGTGAGAAGAGAGAAAGGAGAAAAAAGAATTCCTAGGTTTCAGGGGGCAGCAGTCAGGCCCTTCCCACATTGCTCCCCGTTTATATGTTCTCCTGTAGCAATATCCCCAGGTGGCCTCCTCCCTCCCTTTCTTTTAGCAGACTGCAGCTGGGAGGGTGAATCTGTGCGTGGATTTGTTAGAGTGGCTTCCAGGATGTGGCCTGGGTAGTCCAATAAAGCTGGTCTCATGCTGAGACTGAGGCGCCAACAGGGGCTCAGCCCCCAGGGAAGAAGTCAGTTCTCATCCTGATGAAGGACCTCTGAGGCAACAGGAGAGATGAACTTGCCGCCAAGGATGAAGGCAAGCAGCCTAGCAACTGGGCTTCACCGCTTCCTGGTGCAGTCAGGTTGACAACCAAGAGGCACTGGTCGCTGGGGTCATAACAGTTATGTGAACAGGCTCTTGAAAGCTTCTTGAACATTGAGACAGGAACTTGCTGGCAAATGTTTGCAACCTTGAGATCCAATGAAGTCGATTCTTAGGCAAGGTACCACTTGGAGAGAGTCCTGATTTGCTCTGATTGCCTCTCTTTGCTTCCTCCTAGGGGCCCTAAACATGCATAGGGCTACCTTTGACTCAGCTCCAGCTGAGGTCATTCAGACCAGAAATCTCAACCAGTCAACATGCGCATAAGAAGAAATAAAAACCATTTATTTTAAGCCTCCGGTTTGGAGAGCTCCAGCATTGTGCCTAACAGTACTTACCCGGTACATAAGTGACCCATTAGATGTGGGGTGGGAAAGGACGAGAGTGGCTAGAGAAAGTCAGCATTAGGAAACTCTACACACTAGAATAAACGAGTAACTGATTTTACCAAGTGGGGTGCCAGGTGGGCAGCACGCATGCCCAGTGCCTGCAGAAGCCGGAAAGTGGTAAGTCCCCTGCAGGCTGTGAGCTGTCCACAGTGGGTGCTGGGGCCGGACTCAGGTCCTTGAGAAGAGCAATGAGAACTCTTAACTGCTTAGCCATCCCTTTCAGCCCCGTCTTTCTTTATTTGTGTGTGTGTGTGTAGATAAATATGACCGTGAAGGACAGCTTAAGGAAATCATTTTTCTCCTTACACCAAGTGAGTTCCTTGGTGTGCTGGTTAGGTTTGTGTTTGATTGTTTGCTTTTGTTGTTTGTTTGTCTTTTTTTAAAAATATTTATTTATTTATTTATTATGTATACAATATTCTGTCTGTGTGTATGCCTGCAGGCCAGGAGAGGGCACCAGACCTCATTACAGATGGTTGTGAACCACCATGTGGTTGCTGGGAATTGAACTCAGGACCTCTGGAAGAGCAGGCAATACTCTTAACCTCTGAGCCATCTCTCCAGCCCCATGTTTGTTTGTCTTTTGTCAGTGTGACACAACCTAGATCTGGGAAGAGGGAACCTCGGATGAAGAATTTCCCAGATCAGCTCAGCACAGCCACGTCTGTGAGAGGGCCTTCACTGATGATTGATGTGGGAGGGCCCCGCCCCCGCCCACCGTGGTGACATCATCACGGGGCCCACTGTAGTGACATCATCGCTGGGCAGGTGGGCCTGGGTTGTAGAAAAAAAGCTAGCTGAGGGGCTGGCTCAGTGGTTAATACCCCTGGCTGCTCTTCCACAGACCCAGGTTTAATTCCCAGCACCCACATGGCAGCTCACAACTGTCTGTAGCCCCAGTTCCAGGGGATCTGGTCTTACACAGACCTACATACAGGCAAAACACCAATGCTCATAAAATAAAAATTGGCTATATATTAAAAAGAAGTTTAGTTATATTTTTAAAAAAGCTGAGCATGAGCCAACGGGAAAGCCAGTAGGCAGCAATTTCCCATGCTGCCGACCCCAGTTCCTGCTTACGCTCCTGCTCTGGCCTCTCTCGTGATGGGGGTGGTGGGCTTTGACCTAGAAGTCTAGCCAAATAAACCCTTCCTCTCTGCTGTTCGAGAGTTCTGTCATAGCAACAGAAAACCAAACTAGAGCAGGGATAGAAACCAGGTCAGCTGGCTTGGTGGCAGGTGCTCTCACCCACTGAGCCGCCTCACTGGCCCCAGTTAAAACTGTTGATTACACGGTTTTTAGCGTGTGCCACGCCCATCTTCGAGAACGCTGCAGTGAGTGTGTGGGTGTGAACTGACTGCTTGAGGAAGTAGGTCTTTTCCTCCTACTACGTGGTTCCTGGGATGAACAGGTTGGCAGGCTTCACGGCAGGTGCCTTTTCTTGCTGAGCAATTCCACTGGTGCTTCTCTCTCTCTTTTTTTTTTCAAGACAGGGTTTCTCTGTGAAGTGGCTGTCCTGGAACTCACTCTGTAGACCAGGCTGGCCTCGAACTCACAGAAATCCGCCTGCCTCTAATCTCCCGAGTGCTGGCCTGTGCCATCCCCACCTGCCTGGGCCCTGGTCTTTTAAGACGGAGTCTCACTGTGTAGCTCTGACCAGTCTGAAGTTCTGCATATAAACTACACTGGACTCACATTTGTAGTGATTCACCTGCTTTAGTCTCCTGAGTACTGGGTCACAGTCATAGGCCACAGTGTCTGGCCAGGACTTGTTTTTGTATGTGGGAAACAGGAAATAATGCTATATACCTGTAATCTAAGCATCCAGGAAGCCGAGGTTAGAGAACTGAGTTTGAGGCCAGGCTGGGTTACACAGTGAGACCTTGTCTTAAAGAAACAAACTGGGTGCCAGGTGGTAGTGGTGCTTGTCTTTAATCCCAGCACTTGGGAGGCAGAGGCAGGTGGATCTCTGTAAATTCGAGGACACCCTGGTCTACAGAGTGAGTTCTAGGACAGCCAGTGCTACATAGAGAAACTCTGTCTCAAAAAACC